GTATTATTCTTGGTACTGTGCCATGAACATTACTCTTTATGACTTATTCAGAGCTTCACTCAGATAGGTGTTAGATATATTCCATGTGGCACTTTCAAGAGTTCCACAAAGAGAGCAAGTGATGCCTGCTGTGAAGTGGTCAATTATTTGTAAAGGTTCTACAGCCTACATGTTCCATGGAAGTAAACTATGTTTTAAAGACATCTCCAGCAGGGTGGCCAGTGTTAATTAAGGACTGAGTGTCACCCAGGAACCACTAGGCAGACAAGGCAGACTTGCCCGATAGACTGGAGCATGGAGCATTGAGGGAGGGTAATGAAGTGCCCTGTGTGGAGCTGGCAATCTTATTGATCCCTCTAGAAAGAACTGAAACCATTAACAGTCTTCAGGGAGCACATGTGATTGCCTCTTTCTGTTAGTACTAGTTTCTGACCTTCACATACATCGTCTAGAATAAAAGCAATTTGCTAATCAATGTTATTGTTGAAGGTTGCTCTGTGATAGACATACTGTTTGCAATACTATCACTGCAGGAAACTTGCCATAACATTCTGCTATTCAGTGTATACATAGTGCTTTAGACATCGAAAAACAGTCTTCAATTTTAACCAGTTTTTGCATTCTTCCGACATTAATTTTTGTTGTTGCTTGCATAAAGATGTTAAATGACACACAACAATACTCCAGCTATATTATGGCATAGTTACTGTCAATTCTACCATGAATTTGGAATTTACTCGATTCTGATTGGTCAATCAGAGGCTATTAAATCACAATAAACCCCCTCTGATTGAAACAGCTGGTTTGACAGCCGCATCACCGCGGAAACTAATATTCATAGAATAGTACTTTTTTCAGTCATTGTCGGTAGGCATATTTAAATAATTATATCTACAATTACAGGTTACAAAATGCACAGATGCGGTTACTACAATATTCAAAGGATGTGTGGCAATACATTTCGTGCAGAAAACACGATAGAAATCTACAAAGGGAATGTATTTACGTTTTGGAGACAACAGAGAGCTTGGAATTTTGGCGTTTTTCTCTATACGACTGTGACGTCATATCTTTGGCATCACAATGAGCGACATGACGTCATAATGGTGACACGCGATGTAGAGTGAAAGCCTTGCAAAGCTTGCTTTGTTTTCTTTTGGGATGCCCACCTCATGTTAGCTTACCAAGTTACCATGCTTATATGCTTTCAATGCCTGTCATATGTTCGAGTGAAGTATTAGGGTGTAAACAAACTGCTTGAGTATATACAGCGCCATATTTTGTTCAGTGATTCCGTAATTCAGATCGATGACCCACTCAAAACGCTGGACTCAACCCATGCCGCTTCACTCAGTATATTTGCTAACACCAAAGAGTTCGCGTTTTATTTAGTCATGGTAGAATGGAGATAAACATACTGTGTTTTCAATGTAGAGCTAAGTTATCTGTAGATTTAACCGCGCTAAATTTAACATTTGAAACCTCACGCTGCGCTTTCGGTCCCAAATTCAATTTATCGCGGTTAAATCTACAGGTAACCTAGCTCTACATTGGAAAAACAGTATGTTTATCTCCTAATTTAAGCTCCAAAGACGGTTATAAGGAAGCACTTCTCCACTATTTGTGGAGAGTTTAGTTACCTGGCATACACTTTGGTCAACATTAAGAATAAAAGGGCAAATAAATCTCATTCAAAGCGGCAATTTAAAGAAGATAATACAGTAACCCTAACAACTGCAATCCTTCAAAGAAAACACTTGTGTATTATAGCTTTGTGAAGTCAAATAACACATTCCAAATGTAACTAGTGTTACCTACATTATGCCTTGGTGCCCTGAAATTCATTTGGCTACTTAAATAAAAAGTTCACTTTGAGGCCTGTAAGTGTAACAAAAAATTTAACCATGTCAAACCACGCAAACATAACATAATCTTTTATGTGCAACACACTTTAGCAGTCAGATGACCATTTGTGCAACGCATCCAAGCAATCAGGTGACCTTATGCCCATCACACCCCAGCAATCAGATGACCTTATGCCAAACACACCCCAGCAATCAGATGACCTTATGCCAAACACACCCCAGCAATCAGATAACCATTTGTGCTACACACCCCAGCAATCAGATGACCATTTGTCTAACACACCCCAGCAATCAGGTGACCATTTGTCCAACACACCCCAGCAATCAGGTGACCATTTGTCCAACACACCCCATGAAATCAGGTGATCATTTGTCCAACACACCCCAGCAATCAGGTTGCCATTTGTCCAACACACCCCAGCAATCAGGTGACCTTATGTCCAACACACCCCAGCAATCAGATGACCATTTGTGGAACACACCCCAGCAATCAGGTGACCATTTGTCCAACACACCCCAGCAATCAGGTGACCTTATGCCCAACACACCCCAGCAATCAGGTGACCATTTGTCCAACACACCCCAGCAATCAGGTGACCTTATGCCCAACACACCCCAGCAATCAGATGACCATTTGTCCAACACACCCCAGCAATCAGGTGACCATCAATGGACATCATTGTAAGCTCATCTGCTAACATCTTGGCTGAATATGCTCAGGAAACTTCATATGTGATGACAGCTGTTGAAACGTCCAAATGACAAAGCACATTATCTATGATAAGTTATATTAGTTAAATGATGATGTTATGGCAGTGAAAATCAAACGGCCTGACATTGGACTGTCTGGTAGTGGTTGGTGCCCTGATTGATTCCACTATGCGAGCAGATAGTGGCAGCAGAAGACAGACTTGATATGGTATCTGCCGTACAGCTGGTCTGTTTGGCCAAACCTGTATTGATCACATCTTAATCCACTCCTTCCTGTGCCACTTGCAAACAAATCTCTTAATGTGATTTGAAGAATGATATCTTTTCTTCACTGCACCATTATCTACTGCACACAGCAGTGTCAGATGGACTTCCACGCAGTGGAAGTGGTACAAGAGTATAAGTAATTTATGTCCTTTCACTCCTTTGCCCTAATCAGGAGGTGAGGTGAAATGGGGTTTAGCATCGCTTTTAACATTATTGCACTTATATAGCGATGTGCATGCAAGAATGTGTGTGTGTGTGTGTTTCCGTGGCCGCTTCTACTAGTCCGGACTGATAGCGATTTTATAGTGCTAGCCCACCGAGATGCCATGCCACAGTTTAATATGAACACCCCACTCAGACACAGTATACGGACACCAAGCTGACCAGTTCTTGTATTAGCCCCTTTATGCAGAGCACCAGGCAGGGTAACAACAAGTACCATCTTTCAACATATTTTGGTATGACGTGGCCGGGGATCAAACCCCTAACCTTTCACTCTACCACCAGTGACCTAATCAAGAACATGTATTTGAAAATGGCCCCTAACATGCTCAAATTGCCATCACATATTACCACTGATTGCTGTCAAAGTGTCATGAGCGACAAGTAGAGGCATCTTCTTGGCACTGCACTCTAGCACACATGAAAAACACATTCCCTAACATGCAGCTTGGACACAAAAATTTAATTAAATATAGGCAAATAGCCTTTCCTTTTATCATCAAAACATATGCGGTCATCCACACTTGTTACATTGGCCCATGATTAAACTTTCCGACATTAGTGAAATTGGCATAGTTGCATTTTTTGGTAATGACCCTTTCATTGGTTAATCCTCAATAAGACAGGTTTTACTATTATATGAAATCATATCAATTTCATCAAAGAAATGTGTTCATGTGGAATGCCTTTTGATCTTTGACCCATCATCTTGTCTTCAGTGTTGTGTCTTGCATAGCAATGTTTATTAATACGGATCAGTTCTTATTTGGCATATTTTTTTGTTTATATAGCTGCAAACTTTCCCAAATCACAATTTATATTTTGTTTAGATCTTCTGGTCGGGACACCAAAGTCTGATGACACATCCAATCATCTACATTACAATATACATATATAACCATGTGATTCTGAAACTCAGTTGATAATTTTAGTGCTTAGTTTCTATTTCTACTACAGCAACAAATGGGGTGTCTCAGCTGGACATATGCAACATCATAAATAGGCTTCATACCATGCAGTTGATAAAACAGACATGCGTACGTTTTTAGCAGATGGTTTAAGGTTTAATAATGACCCTCTCTTTACCAGTGTCCATAAAAATTTAGTCCTTGTTACTTTTTCCCAATACATTGACATTCAATTTGTATGAATTAAGGAATAATTCAGTTTTTCATTGCAAATTCGTAACAAATACGAAAAATTTGGGACAGTCGGATGCTATGTGTTTATAAATTTAAAAATCAAAGGTTATTTTGGCAGGACAACGAGGGGCCAGCAAGTCTCCAGTACCTGTAGTCACACCTCGGTCTTCACAGTCTCAGAATTTTCTTAAGAATACTCTTAACTTGCTAAGAAACTTCTTAGATGTAAGAGAAACATTTGGTATTTCTTAGAATTCTCTCAGACTTAAGACCTCTTTTGCACTCTAAGAAGTTTTATGAATAACGCTGGCCCCCCTTGTAGCAAAGCTACTAAGCCCTACCTAGTTTCATATAACAAGTGCATGTCACATTCGACAGCCGCAGAAAATCTGTAAACATGTAGTATCATCACACATGCACAGTAGTTGTCAACAGATGCCACCTAGTACAACCTTCCTAGCTTACCCCCACTGCTCAACTGTAGCGTAACAAAACCGAAATACAATATGCAATAGGTGTGAATATTTACTTCTATGGCTGATCTTACTCTAAACAGTTTCATTAAAATGCTTTTCAAGCATATGAACATATACCTGTGACCAGAGTTTGAAACCGATGCAAACATTATGAAAAAGATTTATACTTGTATCTTATGAATGGAACAATGTTCCAGAGTTGCTCAAAACCTTACTCCGACTCATCATATCAAACTGGGCATCACGACTTAACACATTAGTTTGTAATTTCAAAACTGTTTCTATATCTAAATGTTCTTATCATGTTCTTATTACAGGCACTGGAGACTTGCTGGCCCCACTGCTCCCTGTGTCCTGACTGTGATGACCAAGGTGTGACTACAGGTACCGGAGACTTGCTGGCCCCACTGCTCCTCTGTGTCCTGACTGTGATGTCCGAGGTGTGACTACAGGTACCGGAGACTTGCTGGCCCCACTGCTCCCTGTGTCCTGACTGTGATGTCCGAGGTGTGACTACAGGTACCGGAGACTTGCTGGCCCCACTGCTCCTCTGTGTCCTGACTGTGATGTCCGAGGTGTGACTACAGGTACCGGAGACTTGCTGGCCCCACTGCTCCCTGTGTCCTGACTGTGATGTCCGAGGTGTGACTACAGGTACCGGAGACTTGCTGGCCCTATTGCTCCCTCTGTTCTGACTGTGATGACCATGGAGACTTGCTGGCCCTACTGCTCCCTCTGTTCTGACTGGGATGACCATGGAGACATACTCCATCTGTTCTGACTGTGATGACCAAGTAGATTTGCTTGCCCTACTGCTCCCTCTGTTCTGACTGTGATGACCATGGAGACTTGCTGGCCCTACTGATCCCTCTGTTCTGACTGTGATGACCATGGAGACTTGCAGTCCCTGTGTTCTGACTGTGATGACCATGGAGACTTGCTGGCCCTACTGCTCCCTCTGTTCTGACTGTGATGACCATGGAGACTTGCTGGCCCTACTGCTCCCTCTGTTCTGACTGTGATGACCATGGAGATTTGCTGGCCCTACTGCTCCTCTGTTCTGACTGTGATGACCATGGAGACTTGCTGGCCCTACTGCTCCCTCTGTTCTGACTGTGATGACCATGGAGACTTGCTGGCCCTACTGCTCCTCTGTTCTGACTGTGATGACCATGGAGACTTGCTGGCCCTACTGCTCCTCTGTTCTGACTGTGATAACCATGGAGACATGCTGGCCCTACTGCTCCCTGTGTTGTGACTGTGATGACCGAGGTGTGACTACAGGTACCCGAGACTTGCTGGCCCTACTGCTCCCTGTGTTGTGACTGTGATGTCCGAGGTGTGACTACAGGTACTTGAAACTTGCTGGCCCTACTGCTCCCTGTGTCCTGACTGTGATGTCCGAGGTGTGACTACAGGTACTGGAGACTTGCTGGCCCTACTGCTCCCTCTGTTCTGACTGTGATGACCATGGAGACTTGCTGGCCCTACTGCTCCCTCTGTTCTGACTGTGATGACCATGGAGATTTGCTGGCCCTGGATTACACGATTCTATTCTTTCAAAGAACAGGAAGGAGAGATGATGCATGGAAGATGTACACTGCGACAGGAAACTAGTTTTGGTAAGAAAAATGTTATTTTAACTTCCTCAGCCTCATACCTCAGCATTACATTGCTTGTCAGAAGAGGCGACTAAATTGGATTAGGTTATCAGGCTCAGACTTGGCTGACGGTATCAAACCCTACCCCATCAATGTGAGACAATGCTCATAATATCAAACACTGATTTGTCTGTCACAGATTCATTTATTCACAAGCGGCCCTCAGATAGCTGGAGACCCATAAAAATCCAGGTTAGAATAGGTCTTCAGCAACCCATGATTGCTGTAAGAGGTGACTAACGGGATCGGGTGGTCAGGCTCGCTGACTTGGTTGATGTATGTCATTGTATCCCAAATGTGTGAATCGATGCTCATGATGTCAATTGGTGGATTGTCTGGTTGATTATTTACAGACAGCTGTCATATAGTTGGAATATTCCTGAGTTTGGCGTTAAACAAACAAACAAACAGATAGCTGGAATATAGCTGAATGCAAGATTCACTCATCACCATTGTTTGTAAAGATAACTTTACAACATCATGGTTGAGTTGCCAGCTTGGGAAGCAGGACAGAGACAACCGACTTCTGAGAAACTTAAAACCTCAATGCTCAATAAGAAAACAATTAAATAAATCTCCTAATTCTGTGACTTCTTTGGGATAAACATCTCTGCAAGATTTACTTGAGAGTCCCATTTACCAATCCAGACTGGCAGACTTGGCCCTACATGTAGAGCTTCAGGGAACATCAACACTGACCAGACAACATCTTCTCGAGTCAAGGAGGTAAATGACTATAAAAGTCCAGTTTCCTTCCTTGCTGAAAATTATTATCAATTTTAACTTAAAACAGCTCACAACCAACCATGTGTATTAAACTCCTGTTATTTAGTGATTGTGAATGAGTGTGTGGTGCCGCTTTTAACAATATAAAGATGGGGGGACACCAGAAACAGTCTTCACACTGTACCCATATGGGGAATCGAACCCGGGTCTTTCGGCATGCTAAACTAACGCTTTAACCACAACCCCACTACCCCTATTATCTAGACATCAAGGACCTAGAAGCAGTAACTATGTAAATGAATACTTTTACAGGTTGTGTTTACAGCAAGATTATCACAGTGCAGCTGACAACAATGCATTTCACATGTCCGTCATTCACATCTACAAGGGTAAGATCACATCTACATACCATATTATATCCTTACATCCCCAACTCTTTCCATCAACATCTGGTGCTTTACATGTATCGTGACAGCTGGGGGTAACCTATCTTCCTGAGGCAAGGGAGTTGACTGCCAATAGAAGTCCAGTTTGACAAACCTTGACAAATAAGGCTGGAATTTCTGGGCTCGATCGTGGCACTACTAATGGCTATTACGACTTATGTCCCTTCTTTGTCCCTCCTATTGACCAATCAGATTCCACCTCTCATATCAGATGGATAATCAAAATCTATCTTGTAATAAAACAGGTATTACTTCGCAAAGTGCATCAATCATGTAACCTTCTTCATTAAAAACATGAAAAGATTGGGAAAATATCTGTTGATGCGGAGTTGGCATTTCACATGCAATGCAAATCCTGTACTGACCGAAATCTGCACTGCAGTTTACGTACCAGATGTCGAATTCATTACGCAATTGTAATTGGACTAAGCATATGTGGTCGATGTAGTTTTTGTATATATTTGTTTTAATTTCATTTCAGGTTTTTACATATATTTATTATACATAACTAGTTGTTAGTTTCATCAGTCAGCTATAACACACTGTATCTGTCCTATGTAACCTACTAATTGCCCCATGGCCAGAAGCTTAATATGCTGATTGGCCAAGCTAACACCTACTGTTAAACTGCATGCTTTGATCACCCTGCATACTCTCTTAGCACATGAACTGACAGAACTGCTCAGACCAGCGAAGAATAAAGTTGTAATCTTAAATCAAGTGAATTAAATGGCTATAATCTCTATTTTGTGTTGTATTGAAATAATACAGTATGTATAAAGTGTTTTATTAAGTAAACCAAATGTATGTAATCTAACATAAATGTTGGTTATGTCTAATTATTTAAATCTGCATAAGGTAACCTAAACACTATAATGTATCACTAAAATAAAGACTATCACTTCAATGAAATATGTGTGTATGTGTTGATTTACTTCTAGAATGTTTTAAAAGCTTTGTAATGTAGAGATTCGGATGTGGTACATGATTTCATAATTTCTGTCTTAAAGTATTGTATATGTTACACAGAATGTGTAAGCGTTATGTACTTATTTTGTGTATATACTATATAACCAATATAAAAGTCAAGCATGTAGCAAATTTATTACTGTATATATATATATATATGTGTGTGTGTGTGTGTGTGAGTGGGGGGGGGGGCAGACATCTTATCGATAATGTTGTACCTTTTATTTATTATGTAATTTTGTGTTTCAGGGTGTCTTTGATCTTTGATTTCCCAACACAAACGGCATTGCACTAAAGTCCTCACCTTGTAGCATATGATTGTTCAGTGTGTGACAAGACATCCACTATGCGGCTACACATAGACAAGTTTGTCCATAATTCCAACCTAGTTCAGCATGGGTGGAAACTAGATTTTTGTAGTCAGTTAATTCCTTTGCCTCAGGAAGATTGGGGTAACCATACAATTCAGATTGTATTACATGTATTCTGACATCCAAGAACCATTGTAGTTATCTTCCTGAGGCATTGATTGATAAGCATGATAAGTATGCAATTCAATGACTACACTTCTAGATCGTGCCTGCCTCTGTCATGAACAGCTGCTGCCCTGATACAATAACATGTGATGTCCCTGTAAATGTCACCTCTAGAGTTACAATCATAGTACTGCATGTTAATGAATGAAATAGTGGGAAAATGCCACCCTCCCTAGAGTCATATGTATATCAAAACAAATTTATTCATCTTTGTACAAAATGTACTGACACAGTATGGTAGCCTCATGGTTAAAGCGTTCACCACTCATGCTTCATGGTTCTATTCATTCTTGACTTGTGAAGTCAATTACTGGTGCTATAGCCATGTAACAGCTACTAACCCAACCACCTGCTTGCAGCAAGATGTAGTATCGATCAATATGAGCTTATGTTAAGTTTGACAGCCATGTGATGTCATTGTAAGTCTTAGACCAAACACTGCCCAGTCTCAAACTTTTCTCTAATATGAGGACACCTCCACAGAAGGTAATGGCAGATAAACCCTGAACAAACTTCTACCTTAAGGATGTGGGGGTTCTTGAGCCAGTCATATGTAAGCTTTCTAAAACAATTTGGCTACATTTCTTTACATAAGTTCCATAATTTAGATTTTATCAAGAGAAAGTCAACAGAGAACACAAGTATTCCTCCGATGGAACTTCTGTTTGTGTATACATGCCATGGGTGTAAAAAAATATCCATAATATAATGGAGTGGTGTTATTATTTACATTCAGAACTGGTCGCTTTAAGTTCATTTTCAAGATGTAAAAATCATAAGTGCTGGTCTGAATGCTTCGCTCACACATACCAAGAATGTAGACGCTTCAACACTAATTAGAAAGTTCACCTGACGTGTATTGTATTGGAGGAAAGGACCTGAATGAGATTGAACAGTGTCAGGAGTACCAGTAGCTGGTGTACATGAATGAGATTGAACAGTGTCAGGAGTACCAGTAGCTGGTGTACATGAATGAGATTGAACAGTGTCAGGAGTACCAGTAGCTGGCGTACATAACAGTGATAATAATGTATCTGTAGACTGTTAGCAGTCTCTAAATCTCATGTCAGGAGTCAGCTGATTTGCAGTTTGACATGTCAGTATAGGACCCTGTCTTTCAAAGTTGTGTAGCCAACCATGGCGTTCGCTGGAGGATGAACACTTCCATGTTCTTGACACTGAAGCGTCAGACAGAATCGTCAGTCAGAGTTCAGAGGTCAAAGAGGGCAGACAGTCCCCCTCACTACAGGGGTACTGCCGTGGGAGGTCGTATGCTCGTCCCCGCACACGATCTTCCCACTTCAGTTCACCACTACATGGAACCGCGGGGAGAACACGGGAGTTGTGGTGGTACATCGATTATCTTGAGTTTCACTTTTACTGACAACTGCAGTCACTTTCAACCTAAATATATACAAACATAACACTACACACCGACCAATGTAGATCTTCAAAATCAACACATAGCTTACATTAGGTCTGATCGCTATGCACTTACAGAATGGTCCACGGTTTGTTATGTGAAACACGTACGGCTCCACCAGTCACTATTCGAACACGTGAAGGAAGAGCGATGTTCGCTGGCTCCCGTTCACATAGCTTAAACACGATTAGAGAAATAATAACAAAATAATAACAAACTTACTCTGTTGGCTATATCCGTATCACAGATTTTTGGATCTATCCTCACATTTCTGTCTCTCTGCGATATAAGCCCAGCTGTTTCGCCGTTCTCCACGTCTCCCTCCGACATTTTGACTATAGCCAAGTCACGTGATTTTGCTTTCACGTTCTGGGAGCCTGCCCGCTAGATGGCAGTGATCTATTTCTGTTTCTCGCCTTTAAAAAAGACAGGTAAAATATTCTCATAAAATTCAGTGAACCCACCAAAATCTGACGTGTGTCAGTAAATGCTTTTAACGTATTTCCGTCTGGTTTCGTGATGTAGTTTATGATTAATGAATGCATGAGAACTTACCTACGTGAATGGTTTACAAAATAGGAGATAATTTAAGAGGTAGGCCTATAGGACCATTCTGACGTTTGCTGACAACTTAAATCAAAGGTAACTCCTATTCGGTGGCGAATGTGATACGTCCTTTGTGCGGCCACTGGGTCTGCTCGGGGGTATAGCAGACAGACACTGCTTCAAAGCAAGCTTTTATCAGGCCCATAAATTGCCTATATCGAAATGAAATGTCAAGAAAATCAAAACAAACACGTACACGCCGCTACTTGTTTCTTGTGTAATGACACTGATGCAAGCTATATAGGCTTAATCGATATCCATGCAAGGTGATATCAAGGAGACAATTTAATGCTGTATTTACCGATCATTCATTCAGTGCTGAAATTACATTGCAAGTGAGCGAATGTTGTTCAATAAATATGCCACAGCAATTTACATATAGTTAGCAATATTCCAGCTTTATCACGAGTGCCCGTTTAATCGAGTCTGGCCCAGGAAGACCATGCGCTGACTGAAAACACCGAGCAATGATCGGGCACGGTATGGCACACACGGAATTTACCAAGTCACAGATCTATCGTGACCCCTATCAAATTTGTTTTGGACTTGTGTGATCCGCAATATGGTGTCTTACAAACCGGCAGTTGATAGCACGGACATTGATCATCCATCCTAAGGACATTTTGACTTACATCACAGAGTATTTTATTTTATCACAGAACTGTTCCAATGTCATTTTAAATAGATCTTTGAAATCTTAAGAATTCAAGAGCAGATAATACCTATAGAATCGATCGTTTTAGAAGAGTAGAATGGATGTACACGTAAGTGTTAGGGTTAACGCCGCATTGACCATTATTTTATCGACGTATCGCATCGTGTCAGCTCATATATACTCAGTTTAAAAGGAAACGCACACACCCAAGTTTGCGGGGTCTGCGTCTGAGATTTACCGCTGACAATCGACGCACTGCTAAACTACCCCATTGGCAGGTTTATATGTTTCAACTTTAACTAGTAGTTTAGTCGAGGGTTTTGGTTGAAAACGCAAAATTACCTCTAAACAACGGACAACCACACGGACCGGAGTAGGGCTCTACATAACGACGTTACGAAACGATGAACGTCCGCTTCTTAAGCGATCGCACTGCTGGTCTGTGCAATAAAACGATAGGGAAACCTGTAGATCTCTAACGACTCGTGACCACCTCCGTGGTCTAGTGGTAGAGCGTCCGCCTGGAGAGCGGAAGGTTCGTGGTTCGATCCACGGCCGCGTCATACCAAAAGATGTTAACAGATGGTACCTGCATGGCGCTCGACATTAAGGGTAAACAAGGACTGGTCGGAGTCAGTGTACTGTGTCTGAGTGGGGTATTCATGTTAAACTGCGGCAAGGTATCTCAGTGAACTAGCACTATGAATCGGCATCAGTCCGGACTAGTACAAACAGACAGACACACACAGACACACACACACACACACATGCAGGCACGTCGCTATATAAATGCAATAATCTTGCATGCGACGTTAAACCCAATTTCACCCTCACCTCTCGCGAGTATTGTTGCCGCCATACCTGCTTCAAAAGCGCTTAATGCTCAATTGTTTGTTCCAATCATTGGCGTCATTCATAGAACTGACGCACGCTTGTTTCCACGTTTCACTTAAATTTATGGGTACCTTCAACACCCAACAGTCCGTGTTCCACATTAAAAAATGTGCATGTTGTTAGCATGTGCTCCGAATGACAGTTCTGGCCAGTTTGTCTCAAGGATATGAACAATATGACGGTCAGAGTTCGAAACCGAAAACGATGTGTGGAACGTTTTTTGACATGCTATTCTATCATTGTGTTTCCTTTGTTGTGCAATAGATCACTTTTATTTGATATCAAGTTGCGATATGAGATGCACGTTTCTTCTGGTACTTGTATATACGAGGGCTGGTCAAAAGGTTCTAAGCCTAACAAACAAAACCAACAATTGTGTAAGTGTTTTAAATATTATTTTCCAACATAATCTCCCTGCCTTTCAATACGCTTCTCATATCGACAGTGAATCTTTTCAATCCAAGCCAGGAAGAAGTTTTCTGAAGCGACCCTGAAAACCCCATTCACGGCAGCATTTAAGTCATCGATTTGGTCATAGCGCTTTCCACGAAGGTGTTCTTTTAATATAGGAAACAGGTGGAAATCATTTGGTGCCAGGTCTGGCGAGTATTGATGTGGGGAAACTCTTCGAACCCACATTGTCGCACAGCTGCCTTTGCAAGTCGAGAGGTGTTAGATGAGGCATTGTCACGAAACAGTAGAAATCCAGTAGGCACAGGTAATCTTCTTTAGACTTTCTAAGTAATCAACAAGGATCACACCCTTTGCACCCCAAAATACAGTGGCCCTTACTTTCTTCATTGATCTTGAAGACTTTAATTTCTTTGCGGTGCCGGGGTAGTGGAATGGGGGGTTCCATAGCGGTATAGACCAATGTTTCATCACGGTAGCGGTATAGACCAATGTTTCATCACACCTTACTAATCTCTTTTTTATTTTGACCAAATCCTCCTCAATTAGCTCTTAATATTCTCTTGCAATGTCAGTTCTATTTTCCTTAAGATCAGAAGATAGAAACTTTGACACCCAACGAGCAGATATCTTATTCATCTGTAAATCTTCATGAATAATAGTTTCAATGGATCCATGGCTTAGACCCGTGTCTTCCTCAAGTTCAGCAATGGTTATACGTCTATCTGACAGTTTAAGATTTCTATCTTCATTGATGGAAGTTGAAGGACATCCAGATCTAGGGTCATCATCAAGGCTTGTTCCCCCAGCTTTAAACATAGCCGCCCAACATTTAACAGTGGAATAGCTTGGGCACTTATCCCCATACACTTGTGACAGGCGGTCATGAATTTCTGGGGGAGTACTTTTCTCTAAAGTCAAAAACTTGATGACTGCTTGGTACTTGTTCTTTTCCATTTTTGTATCCATTTGGACCCCTTCGTTCAACTGACTGTTACTAATATGCAAGCGGCCTCAACAGACCAACTACACTTGCAATGAACTACTCAAACAATGTACTACTTTGTTATTGCCCATAGTTGAAAGTTAGTCAGACTCAGAACGTTTTAACCAGCCCTCGTGTTATATCGAACTAAAGGGGCAAAGTAACACAGGTTACAGGTGTCATCCATTTTTGTAAACCCACGATGGTGGTTACAGAATCATAAACATGCCAAGGCACGAGACTTTGAAAAGTGGAATGAGGCGTCGCAGAAAACTTGACCATCGGTGTCTCGAATTGAAATTATGTTATGAATTATGTTGTATGAACGATAACTGAGATTCTTGAATAAGTATGTGGACCGTGTTTCCAACACAACGTGTATACCGAGGGATTACACGCTATGTCATCCTCGTTGACAGGTATGGTTTGCTTCAGCAGAATGACGTTTAATTAACAGCTTTCAAAACTAGACATCAGCTCCAGTGTGGCTAAGGTTTCTTTAATTGGTTTGTTTGTTTGTTGTTTAATGCGGCACTCAGCAATATTCCATCTGTCCGACGGCTGGCTGGAAAAAATCGAGTCTGGACCAGACAACCCAGTGATTGACACTATGAGCATCGACCAACGTACTTGGGATACGATGACATGCATCAACCGAGTCAGCGAGCTGGCAACCCGATCCTGTTTCCAAGGAAACTGCCAACAGCCTGTATATAATATTGTTAGCTTCGT